TTTTTGTTTGTTTCCAGCCAACATGGCAGATGAAGATCTATAACCACAGAAAAGCGTGCTAATTAGTGCGGCTTCAAGCTAGGAGAGGGGAAGAGTGGCAACTGTGCTTTGTGTTTATGATCTTTTCTTTTTCTTGGATTATTTAATTTCTTGAAACCCTAGGCAACAGGACCATGAGCAGTAAGCAAAGTTTGTATCAACAAAATAATGGTATTTCCATGTTGGGGGGAAACGCCCTCTTAGCCAGGAGGGAAGCAATCAGAATGTAAACTGCTGCAATCTGGAAGCTTCTCCTCAGGACCTGTTTACAGCTGGTTCACTGTTCAGTCAAGCAGCATAATATGCCAAACAAGAGGCAGGTGGGAAGGTTATGTAAAATACTGTCTGCACGACTTCAGTGACTGCAGAGCACAAAAGCCGAGGGTAGAGGGGAAGAACCTTTCTGAAATAAAAAATGAAAACTATGGTAATCCCCTCAACCAAGAGATCTCGATCTATGCAGCTCTAAAGTGAATAGTTTTGACCAGCACAAATAGACCTTTTGATTTAAAAATATATCACAACTTCTTCAATTTTATGTAATAATGTGAACAACACAGCCTTGATTTCACCTTTTAATCTTGTAGCTTGCTTCTAATCCTTTGCTTTCCAGGTCTAAGAAAGAAAAATTGCAATCATGGAAAAGAGATAGGGAGTATGAGAGAGAAGCATAAGAGGTCAACTTAGTCTCCCTGGAATATCCACTCCCATGAGAAAGAGAACTTTTTCTTCATTTTTTAGAAAGATCTTGCAGATTGAAATATTAAACAAAGTTTGCTCTTATCAGTTATAAAGTGATGAAGTGCCAAAAGTAATCTTATCCTTGAAAAAGATGAAAAGATCTTTGCCTTCTGAGGAATTGCTACAATGACCCAGGAGATGGTATGGAATATAAAGATAGTATAGTTAAAAATGCCTACAGCTGTCATCCATTTTTCCAAATATTTACGGAATATGATATCTATTATGAGCTAGGCACTATGTCAAGTACTTCAGGGTGGAAACACAGAGACAGCTAAGCACAGCCCCTGACTCAAGGAAGCTTAATGTTTAAAGGAAAGGTTAGAACAAGCAAACTAACTGTAATAGGCAGGAAAACAAATATTTTAGGGATGCGCACAGATCAGAAGCTGCTAAAATCATAGGACATCACGGTGAGTTTTGTGGATTGAAATGAGTTTCTTTGGAAGGGCGGGGGGTGATGGTAGGTGAACCAAGCTGGAGAACAAAATGAACCAAAGCATCAGATGTGGGGTGGTAGGATATTTAAAGATGGCAAATTGCTCATTGAATCATGGGAATGTTGGTTGGGGTGTTGAATGTTAGAGTTATTGACAATAAAGTTGTTCTGCCACCATTTCTTCTATATAGTCAATCCACGATGGGTGCGTTTATTTGTTTAGAACTCTTTCAAATGAGGGATGCTATATATAGGAAGAAAATGAATAGTTCACACTCTGTAGGTCATGAAATTTCCTAGTGATGAAATCCTGGTAACCAGCATCTAGATCAAGAACAATATGACCATCATTCACAGCCTCCCACCTGCTACCTCCATGGCCTCCTTCAGTTATCCATCTTCCATAGAAACCATCTTTTCTCATCTGTCTCATTGTATGTTAGTTTTTGTTTGTTTAGAACTTAATAAAAATGAGATAGTATCTTTCACACAATCTTCTCCTTGACTATTTTAAAAATTTTATTATTATTGATCAATTACATGGAATTATAAAGATGGTCTATTATCAATGTACATTTGAGGTTTTTGGTTTTTTTTTCATCTTCTCAATCAAATAAATGGATCAAAAACAACTAAATTTCAAAATGGATGCATAATCATCAGCATACTATATTTACGTATGAACACTCATCAGCAATTCTCCTTATGAGGGATAAATACCAACTCCTCTATGAGGACTGAGGAGTGAATTGGACCACTTCTGTGCCCTCTCTAATCCTTACTAGTTTGTTTTATACACTGGACTGTGTTGATTTCTCTTAGAATTCTGTGCTATAGTTCCTGATGGGAGAGCTCCTCAGGTACATTATACATATTATGTTTTGTACTATGGTATAAGAGGTTTTAAGGTTTTTCTTTCCTTTTTTCCTTTTTGCCTCAACTGCAAAACATTGGGTATTTCTATTATGTTATGTTAAAGAAAGAAAAAATTCCCTGCACACGTTTTGTATAACTCTGTTGAAAACTCCTCTCACTCCCTCCGTGAAAGAAAGTGTTATCTTCCTCCAGAGGCAGCTCTGTGTTCTAAGCAGAACGACTGACTTTCGGGCTTGCCATCTGGAAGTTTCCTCACTCAGGAAACTTATACAAATTCTCTCTCTATTGTCCTCAAAAGGATCGTCCATCCATGGATCTGTGACTCTCACTGTGTCTTGCACTGTTAATGTTTGTCTGGGGAAAAGTAACATTTCTTAGGATTGTAGGCAGAGCTTCCCATCTCAATTATCAATCCTGATCACGGCTTCGTTTCATCCCAGGTATCAGCTTCTATATACATTGGAGGGGAATAGAAAGGACCAAGAAAATGAGGAGAGTGGAAGTTGGGGCTTTCACAATGCATTGCCTTCAGAGATTCAGGAAGAGGATGAAAGATTGCTGGGCAAACTATCTCCTGGGAGCTCCAAATATTCCTTATCACTGAAGACTGAGATCATCTAAATTTTTTTTTTTTCAGTTTTGGAGATCAGAAAAAGTTAAAGGCTAGCAGACTGAGAAAGTTAGCCCCCACTCCCCCCCTCTTTTTTTTATTCTTAGTGTTGTGCAACTATGAACAGAAGGGAAACTGTATGGTTCCGTTCATATCATCCTTACCAAAAACAATTCCACTGTGAGTGAACTCACTTAGCGGATTATGGGACTACTGTATAAAGAGATATACAAATCACTTGAGTGAAACTTGCATATGGTTTGGAACTTAAATAGCCCTAATAATATCTCCAATATGGATACATAGATATGTTCTATGGACATAGGACAAAAGTCATTAAGGAGGAATGATGTAATTTTCAAGATATACCAGGATTTTTCTGAAATGAAATTGTATTGTAATATTCAGTTTATCGCAGAGAAACACTTTCCCTAAACAAAGTATATCCTATTATAATTTTCAGCATAATATGAATAGAAGAGAGAGTGTTTTTAATTATTTCCAAACAATAGAGGAAAAGCTGAATTTTAATATTAGAACCAAAATTTACAGTGGAATTTTTTTATATATTTTGCATCAAGGAATGCCCATCATAGAGCTACTTGCTTTAATTCTGTGAATGGTTATAGAGGGTTAACTATCTGACATTTATTTGTCAGACCTTGGGAATTGGAAGACAATTGGGGTAATTGCACTATGTTTCAAGGTATTTATGGTATAGCCTAGGAGGCAGTAAAAACAAATAAATAATATTCGTGTTGAGATACATTTTCTGATGGAGCTACCCAGTTCCTATGGGAAGCTGGAGGGGTAATTTCCTATTTATATAATCAAAATTTTGTGAGTAACACTTTCACAAATTTGAGATGCATAGATTTGGAAAATAGGATGAGTTTTAGGAAGTGGAGTTTCTGGAAGAGAAGCGGTCTAAAAATCAACTTTTTTTTTTCACTGTCGCAATAGGTAGAGGACTTTGGTGTCACAGCTCACAGAAACCTCAAACATTTTGGCTTAAGTGATTCTCTTGCCCCAGCCTCCCAAGTAGTGGGGACTACAGGTGCCCACCACAATGCCTGGCTATTTTTTGTTGCAGTTGTCATTGCTTTTAGCTGGCCCAGGCTGGGTTCAAACCCACCAGCTTCAGTATATGTGGCTGGAGCTATAACCACTGTGCTTTGGGTGCTGAGCCTAAAAATCAACTTTATCTCATTAATCTTCAGAGAAATCCTTTGGCATTATTAACCATATTTCACAGAAGAAATATTTGAATCACGATCCTGATTTCTGGCCAAATCTTCTATATACAAATGTCTGTTCATTCTTTCCCTCTATATATGTACGAGGTTTGACAATTAACTTCATGAATTCATCCTAGAAAAAATGCTACACAGTTCATTGCTGAATATAACTGCAATCATCTCAAGGTGCTCCCTTTGGGAATCTGTGCACTAATGCCAGTACCTAGTCCACTCTTCAAAGCAATTTTGGAGCTCTTTTTCTGGAATGGCCTTCAGACTTATCATCATATTGATGTTGTGTCAATAAAACTTCTTTGTTTCCATATTTCCTTTACCTTCAAGTAAAGAAAAAAATCATGGCTGGCCAGATCAGGTGAGTAGGGAAAGTGTTTCAATACAGTTATTTGTTTATTGGCTAAAAATTCCCTGACAGATAGTGCTGTGTGTGCTGGTACAGTGCTGTGATTCAAGAGCCACACCTTTCTCATGCCAAGATTTTCAGTTAAGATTTTCCTATTTCTCTATCAATGTTTACTTGGTTTGCCATGCTTTTTACAGTTAGCCAAAATTTTTTATGCACTATTCAACAAATTTTTGCAATGTTTTCATCAGTGCTTCTTGTTACTGGTTGGCCTGACTTCTCTTCATCAGTGACACCTTCTCTCCCCTCAGAAAAAAAACTTAATTCATTTATACACTGCTGTTTTCTTCATAGCATTATTCCCATAAACTCAGACTAACGTGTCCCTGATTTCACTTCTGCTCTTGCCAGGTTTAACAAGAAAGTTACAAATGTTTGTTCACTGCCCTAATTCCAGTTCCAATGTTTTTGTGCTAGCACACAAAAACATGCAACAATCATAATGAACACCACTCAGCAAGACACCACCACACATTGACAGGAACACCATTGTGAAACACTGATACACCAAGGTTATGAAAACTAACCAAGTTTTTTGTACAGTGCTGCCAATGTAAGTTCATGAGTTTAATCATCAGACTGGTTTATGACTGAGGGAGTGGTCCATAAGTTATTTATTTATTTATTTATTTATTTAGTAGGAAAGTATGAACACAGTCCCCCACTACCACAAATTATGCAGTTGAGTTTCCCACATCTGGGGAAATCGCAAGGGCAGCACATCTGGAATAGAATGGATAAGCCTAGCCCTGGGAAAGCCACCTTCGTGATCATGGTATTTCTCCTGTCAGTATTATAACTTACTTGTTTTGATACCATAGTTTTTCTTATGTAATACTTCACAAGTTCAAGTCTCATCACATAAGTTGTCTTATTTTAAACTCGTAGCAGAGGGTAAGCATCTTTATTCCCATTTATCACTTATATATTAGGGAACAAAGTCTTAGTGTAGCAAGAACTGGCCCAAGATCAACACAGATGGTAGAGTAAAGGGTAATCATTTAAATTCTCTATTTTGTATTATTTTTGTACATTTTCTATTTCTCAGTCATAGTTGCTATGACAAAATGAAGAATCACTACTGTATGTTCATTGTTACATGGAGTTCATGACCTTTTATTTTATAAGAATATAAATAATATTGTTTTTAAAACCAGGATTTTAACTAGGTCAATTCAGGGAAGAATAGAGGACATATCAGCACACATACCGAAAAGAGGTAGAATGCATGAAAATGTGCAAGTGTCTTGAAGGGATGGAGATGACTAAAAAATTGTCACATAAAGTTTCATTCTTGTAAGCAGGGGAAAATCTTTCAAACAACTTCATGAACCATCTACTATAAATAAGCAAAACAGAGTATACTCACGTCTCCAGAAAACATAAATGCTTAGTTGTGACCTTTGATTAGCACTGTTACTATTTGAATCTTCCACCAGATTAGGTAGGATTTGGCCAGTTAATTGAAACTGAACAACATTAACAAAAAGAGATATGCTGGCGCAGTGCCTCATGCCTGTAATCCTAGCAGTCTGAGACGCCAAGGTGGGTGAATTGCTTGAGCTCATGAGTTTAAGACCAATCTGAGCAAGAGAGAGACCTTGTCTCTACTAAAAATAGAAAAACTGAGGCAAGAAGATCACTTAGGCCCAAGAGTTGGAGGTTGCTGTGATGCCATGGCACTCTACACAGGGCAACAGCTTGAGACTTTGTCTCAAAAAAGAAAAAGAGAGAGAGAGAGTCAGAGTCTATAGCAGCTAAAATTTAAAGCAAAAGTATTTTAGAGAAAATGCAATCAACAAGCCAAATTTAATATGCAGGACCATGTTAGACATATGAGAAATCATCCCACTTATTTCCTATATTTTTCAGTCCTGCCAGCTGCATCTGAGGAATCATAGAGAATACTATGAAGTTGGGTCAGTCACCTGTATGTGGAAACTGACAATTATCAGGGAGGGGTATTGAGTTGATACAAGTGATATTTAAAAAACATAATTTAATTAGTTTAGATGAGGTTATAATTCTTGTTTTCATCATGTATTTTATTTTTCCCTGTCAAGGATGTAATAATACTGAATAGACTTTAAATGATTTAAGGTTCCAAAATGGTTTCACTATTCATATCACATTAATTACTTAACATTAAAATGATGGCCAACTCTATAAATAGAAATACAAAAATAGGCTACAATGTAAACTATAGTCCTTTCTTTAGGCTGACATAAATCTGAAGACACCACAGTTTGTAAGATATTTCAATATTTAAGGTCCAGAGGAAAGAAAAATTTGCAAAAATTAAAGCCAATGCTTTTAATACTTACATGGATAAGGTGATAAATGATAATTTTGCAAAGCATTATAGAATCTTTTTGTTTCACATCTTTTTTTTTCTGACATATCTTCCAATTATAAAAAAAAAAAGTACATCCTGTATTTTGTCACATAGTTTACCATATTGTCTCTTTTCTTATCAATGCTCTGAATATATGGAAAGAAAGAAAATGAAAGTAGAAAATGGGACAAGTATTTTATGGTGTGTGTGTATGTGTGAGTGTCTGTGTCTGTGTGTATTTTAACCACAAAGTTAATATAAGTTTAAGTACTAGATCTACTACAGAACCTTCATTCCAAAACTGGATTGTATATCAAAATAGTCGTAGAAGTTGTCAAAAATGCAGGTTTTGTGGTCCCACCTTGTCCTCCTAAATCAGAACACAACATAGCCATGCTCATGGGCCTTTTCATGGTGACACTGATGCACTGCTAAATTTGAGAACTAGTGTGATAAGATATTCATATCAAATATTAAATATATGTACCTATTTGACACTGAAAATGTGATTTTTTTTCAAAGTTGCAAAGTATATGAATGAATGATTTATATATTTCCTAGACCAATATCACTATATTAAATGCTACAGAGTATTAAACACCTTACAACTAGTTGTGTTAGTTTGGGTCATGGGTGATACTTAGCAAGAATGTTATCACATGCAAACTTGATGACCTCTTGTATCTGACAGGGAAAGGATAAACAGTGACTTCCAGAGGGTAAAGGCCATATGTCATCTGCTCAGCAGTAACCCAAGAGCCCCTTTGGTGTCTTTTACATACCTGCATATAATTATAGTAATTATTATTGATTATGCTTAAAGTTTTATCAAGGTACTCTTTTAAACATTTGCATAACTTATTTAACATAATTTTCTCCAAAAAAGCTATGAGGTATATTTATTAAATTCACTTTATTTTCTAAGAAACTGAGGATTACACAGGGATGTCTGACTATATTACCTATACTTTTAAGCTACCAAGGTAATGAAAATCACACATGGTCACTCCATAGCTAACAATGACAACAAAATTTTGTCTTCAATGTATAGATAGCATAACTAAAAGCAAACTATGCTAGACCTACTTTTCTCATTGCCAGAATACACTACAATCCTTCCTCCTTCCTTCATTCCTCTGAAGTGCTTGGTTCAATGAAGGTTAGCCTGTGTAAGTTTGGGACTACATCAATCAGGTACTGCAGGGCCAGTGAACACTAGAGACTGTCTATTAAGTTTTCTTGCAAGCTGCTAGTGAAGCATAGTGGTTTCTGCCTCTGGCACTCTATATAAAAAAGCAGAAACAAAAGGAAACACACCATTTGCCCCGTCACGTAGATTAATCAAGAAAGGCATAAACTTCGTTTCTTTAGCTGGTCTCTGATAAAGAGAAAAGGGCATTATGATAGGTACAGCCAGGACTCACTTCAATCATCTTTAACAGTCCCAGGACACAAGGCAAGGGTCTTGACTATTTCATTGAAAACATGTATTCTTTTTCTACTGAAGTTCCTGTAATTATTACCTGTGCTCCTTTATCATGCCATATTGTGAACAACTTCAGAGAAAAGCAAGTTCTTTAGATCAAAGAAAAAATGGGGGGGGAGGATTGTCTTTTGACTAAACACACATATTCTGTTGTTATGGTAACATAAGATCTGAGAATGACGCACTAAATGGTACGGCACCAAGGCACATTACTGTCATCAAATGTCACAATAAATGTGCTTCAGCTCCTGAATATAACATACAACATTGTTTTCTGCTGTTCTCAGTGCTTTCATTTGAGGTCAAAGCAACTTCCACAAATGGGTACCAAATATCATCCATCACCCTTCTTAGTGGTCCTTCTTCCATGAAGAGACCCCATGAATTACACTAAAAATAAGTGCGGTGGCATGAAAACTTAGCAGCTATTTCCTTGGTTTCCCAAGGGAACAACTGGCTTACCCTTCAAAAGCCATTACAACATCTCCATTTAGCAATATGCCTGACTGTAGGATTTATTTGTGTATTATCACAGTGTGGATATAAATAATAACTTTGAATTGACTAAAAGTTGGCCAGAAATGTATAGACAGAATAAGTCATGTTGATGTAGGTAAAATAGACAGGGATAGAACATCCTCTCACATCCTTTTATGGGTATTATATTTGTAAGAGAGGAATGGAGAGAATTTGCCATTTGGGGATGTGTTGCATATTTGTACAGTTGCTTTGTTTTTCATCCTTTCTTTAATATTCTGGTATGGATATATATATGAATGTTTTATTATTGATATTGACTTGCAAGTAGATTATGTGGCTTTTCTAGTGGCCAGAAAAAAAAAGAGGAAAGGTGTGAGTGACAAGCCAATGGCAATTTTCTGTAGAAGAATATGGAGGGATCCCAACCTTGGAAAAGGGCTGACATCAAGGTCTTAGATATGATGAGAAAAGATCATATATTGTAGAAAAGCATGAAGTACTGAAACTGGGAGACTGATATTGGTTTCAGGCACTCTGTCCTCTTCCATGTGGGAGCAGAGCAGGAATGAAAAGGAAAGGCTGTGTGGAAGGTGAACGTGAGGCTTCAGATGTGTCTTTGGGTCTGTCACCCTGATGCCCTCTGCCCTTCTGCCTCCAACATTTCACCTTCATTCTGCATCTAGTTGTTTTTGGTTTTTAAACTGAGAATTTGTCTCCAAAATGTGTCAAAATGCAGATGGTTGGTCCCTGACTAGTAATGTTTCCCATTAGAACATTTCAACTTTGAATGGCCCATTAGAAATACACATTCTATAAAAACAGTACTTTGAGAACCTCTACATCCATTCTTTTTTTTCACATTAAGCACAATATTCAAGAAATTACCTGAGCTATTCAACACTTGATTACAAAAGAGACTTTGTGGTAGCTGATTTTGCCCAACTTTAGGCTAAGGAAATTGTTCTGAGCACTGTTAAGGTAAGCAAAGCTAAGCTATGATGTTTGATGAGCTAAGTGTATTAAACGCATTTTTAATTTGTGCTATTTTCAACGTATGATGAGTTTATCAGGACATAAGCCCATCATAAGTTGATGAGCTTCTACACATTTCTGAATCATGCCAGTCTATTTCCAAAGACTCCTCTACAATTATCCTTAGAAGCTCATTTAAACAGAAAAAGAAATCCATGAAATCTCCATTTAGTTGGTGTCAGCTAATTCCACTGTCCTGGTCTCTATTTATTTGAAAAATGTACCATTTCACAACACAGTATATTTGTGATTGAACTAAATTAAGGATGATAATACAGAACATACTAATGTAAAATATATGCTAGGACTCGTAGCTTAGTCAAATACACTTAATGCTTCTTCTTTCAATATTATCCTCACCAACTAACCATTTCAAGAAATAATTTAAAACTGAGTGGTAAGCTGCACACTGATAAACGAGGTCCATTGTCCTCAAAGCATTTACTATCAGTTTACTTAGACTA